GTTACTTAAATTTTTTTGAGCAATATATATATTTTAAAAACTACTGTGTTCTCCTTTTTTCTTCTCGGTGCTGTTAACTGTCTTCAGCCTTTCTACAGCTACTTCCTTTCATAAACTTTCATAATTCCCTTGTCCTGGCACTAAAATCATGTCATTGCTTATGGCCAGCTTTCTCACAATGCTGGAACATGCCTTCACAGAAAGCTATGGACAGCACAAATGCCAAGTCTAGCTGAGGTAATGAACAAGAAATAAACCAAGTAGCTCAATAAGAAATTAGTTTTTGGTGGCACAATATTCTATTATAGACTGGTTCCATTTTACAGGTGTGTTAGCACTGGGATTAATTTGTTTGGTTTCCTTCCATCCAGTCTCTTGGATTTCACCCCTGCATCACCTCTTTATAGAGGGACTTTCTCTTATCATAAGAACTTTCTTTAAGATTTTTATATTTGCATTTGGTTTATTGTTTGATACATTTTTGGTCCAAGTTTGCCCTCTGCCTCCTGGCTCCATCGTCAGTGCTTATTATTGAAAGTGTTTTTCAGGAAGTATCTGAACAAGGATTTTCTTGGTAGGATCACCAGTTATTATTTTAATGAAAGCTACAGATTAAAAAAAGTGTTTTTAATTTCATGAATGTGTTGAAGATTTTATGATATTTTGGTGATTTGTTAGATTCACTTAAAGAAACAAATGTAAGACATTGGTTTCCTTTATTCAATTTCTGTTGGTCTGTTTTATTTTACATGAAGCTACAATCAAGCTTTAGTCCTCATGCACACTGACACTTTTTTCTACAGCCAGTATACTCCCCAACATGTTATCCTTTGTGTCCATGCACACATAGACTGTAATTTAATGTTTTTTGGCTGGAAAACAACGCCAGAACTAGTGGGTTTCTAGAGGAGTTTTTTAGCTGTAAAAAGGCTCTAACGCTCAAAAACATGGTAAATCGTGGCAAACCGGTGTTTTTGAATTTTATTTTTGCCCCCCAAAAAATCTAAAAAACGCAAACGTGAAAAAACGCTGCTAAACGCCGCTTACCAGCGTTATTAAAACGCCCAGTTTGCATGGAGCCTAAATGATATGTTACCAGTAAGAGAAATATGGGCTTTCCAGTGCTAACCTGCTAATATTAGTTGCCTTACTATGCCCGGCTTCAATTCTTTGAGTTTTTGAAGCATGCATATTAGAAGGTCAGACTGAAATCAGAACTAGGGCTGCAAGTAACGATTATTTTCATAATCAATTAGTTGGCCGTTTATTGTTTTGATTAATCAAATAATCAGTTAAAAACCAAAAAAAAAAAGTGTGTAAAATTTAGTTAATATGTAAAATTTATGTAATGCTGTTCACAGACTCTCTCCATCCAATCTGACAGAGCTTGAGCTATTTTGCAAAGAAAAATGGGCAAAAATTTCACTCTCTAGATGAGGAAAGCTGGTAGAGACATACCCAAAAAGACTTGCAGCTGTAATTGCAGCAAAAGGTGATTCTACAAAGTATTGATTCAGGGGGGCTGAAAACAAATGCACGCCACACTTTTCAGACATTTATTTGTAAAAAAAAGTTTGAAAACCATTTATCATTTTTCATATCACATAAAATCCCAATAAAATACATTACATTTGTGGTTGTAACATGACAAAATGCAGAAAATTTCAAGGTGTGTGAATACTTTTTCAAGGCACTATATTCCTGAATATCCATATGCACTGGTAAATATAAATAACCAGCTATATGTCCAGGGAACAAAATATCGAATCCACTCTGAGAACAACAGCCAGAAGAGATGCATATACTATTAGAGGTTGAATCTGGTACATCATACTCCAAGATCAAAATTTTTATTGAAAGAAAAAAATTTAAAAAGATCTAAAATGCTATTTTGCAGATTTTTAACCAGGATTGTACTATAATATCATGTATGACAGAGTCCTTTGTCAGAGACAGATAGCTTTATAGAAGCAACCTGCACCTGCTAGCACTTTTACTGGCCATACACAAACAAATTTTTCCTTTGAAAATTTTATTTTTAAGTTTCTTTTAGATCTTCTAATTATTAGTGGGGTCACATCAGCGTTCATTTTTTACCACAGCAACGGGAAAATTCAAAGAAGCAGAATAGAAAAGTTTTCTCGAACGGGCAAATTATCAGACAGTGTATGTGGTTTTTGTTCAGAAACTACATTCATTTTCAAATTGAATGTTAAACCCAAGTGAAATTTTGGAATAATATTTGTCCATTCATCAAATGCACAAAGATTTTTCATAAGAATATTCTCATCTGAACATCAATACATGTATTGGCAGCATAAGACACCCAGTACCTTCATAGTATGAAAACAGCAGATAATCACTACTATAAGGGGTTAATTTATACTGTGAAACAGTATAAATATATATATCATATAACGTGTAGCATATACAGTGAAGGAAATAAGTATTTGATCCCCTACTGATTTTGAATGTTTGCCCACTCACAAAGAAATGATCAGTCTAAAAATCAAATGGTAGGTGTATTGTTACACTGAGAGACAGAATAGCAACAACAAATTCAAAAGAAATGCATGTCTAACAAATTATGCACTGATTTGCATGTTCATGAGGGAAATAAGTATTTGAGTTCTTATTCAGCAGGATTTCTGGCTAAAAGTTGTCTTTCATACAGGTAACAAGCTGAGATTAGAAGCAGTCACTTAAAGGGAGTGCTGCTAATCTAATTTTGTTACCTGTATAAAAAACACCTGTCCACAGGAACAATCAAACAATCAGATTCCAAACCCTCCTCCATGGCAAAGACTAAAGAGCTGTCCAAGGATGTCAGGGACAAGATTGTATACCTACACAAGGCTGGACTGGGCTACCAAACTAGCCAAGCAGCTTGGTGAGAAGGTGACAACACAAAACAACTGTCAGTCTCCCTAGGTCTGGTGCACCATGCAAGATCTCACCTCGTGGAGTGTCAATGATCATGAGAACAGTGAGGAATCATCCCAGAACTACACGTGAGGATCTTGTCAATGATCTCCAGGCAGCTGGGACCACAGTCACCAAGGAAACAATTGGTAACACACTACGCCGACAAGGATTGAAATCCTGCAGTGCCCGCAAGCTCCCTCTGCTCGTGCAAGCACATGTCCAGGCCCGTCTGAAGTTTGCCACTGAACATCTGAATAATGCAGAGGAGGACTGGTTGAAAGTGTTGTGATCAGAAGAGACCAAAATCGAGCTCTTTGGCATCAACTCAACTCGCCGTGTTTGGGAGGAGGAGGAATGCTGCCTATGACTCCAAGAACACCATCCCAACTGTCAAACGTGGTGGAAACATTCTGTTTTGGGGGTGTTTTTTTCTGCTAAGGGGACAGGACAACTGCACCACATCAAAGGGACGATGGACGGGGCAATGTACCATCAAATCTTGGGTGAGAACCTTCTTCACAGGGCATTGAAAATGGGTCGTGGATGGGTGTTCCAGCATGACAATGACCCAATACACACGACCAAGGCAACAAAGGAGTGGCTCACAAAGAAGCACATTAAGGTCCTGGAGTGGCCTAGCCAGTCTCCAGACCTTAATCCGATAGAAAATCTGTGGAGGGAGCTGAAAGTTCGAGTTGCCAAACGTCAGCCATTAAACCTTAATGACTTGCAGAGGATCTGCCAAGAGGAGTGGGCCAAAATCCCTCCAGAGATGTGTGCAAACCTTGTGGCCAACTACAGGAAACGTCTGACCTCTGTGATTGCCAACAAGGAAATTGCCACCAAGTACTAAGTCATGTTTTGTGAAGGGGATCAAATACTTACTTCCCTCATGAACATGCAAATCAGTGCATACTTTTTAGACATGCATTTCTTTTGAATTTGTTGTTGCTATTCTGTCTCTCAGTGTTACAATACACCTACCATTCGATTTTTTAGACTGATCATTTCTATGTGAGTGGGCAAACATTCAAAATCAGCAGGGGATCAAATACTTATTTCCTTCACTGGATATATATAAATATATATATATATATATATATACACAGTTAGGTCCATATATATTTGGACACAGGCAGAATTTTAGATTTTTTCAGGTATTTACCAAAACATATTCAAGCTATAGTTATATAATTGATGTTGGCTGAAAGTGCACACTTTCAGGTTTAATTTGAGGGTATGTACATCCAAATTGGAGGAAGGGTTTAGGAATTATAGCTTTTAAGAGCAGCCACCCCCCTATTCCAAGGGACCAAAAGTAATTGGACAATTGAATATAATCATAAATAAAATGTAAATTTTTAATATTTTTTGTTGAGAATCCTTTACCGGCAATGACTGCCTGAATTCTGGAACCCATGGACATTACCAAAGACTGGTCTGATGCTTTTCCAGGCTCTAACTGCAGCTGTCTTCAGTTGTTCTTTGTTTGTGGGTCTTTCTGCCTTTAATTTTGCCTTCAGCAAGTGAAATACATGCTCATTGGGTTTGCGATCAAGTGATTGACCCGGCCATTGCAGAATATTCCACTTCTTTGCCTTCAAAAGCTTCTATACAGCACTGCAGTCTCCTCGAGCTCCTTGCAGCCACAGCCATCTTTGCTGGATCGGCTTCTGAGTACCGATCTTCAGCCATTTTCATTGGCCCTTCCGAGATGATGTCACTCACACGGAAGTTCATTCAACTCGGCATTGCTGAAATTTGTACACTGAGCACGTGTGCAGCTCAGTGTACAGGGCATACAGGCAGGTAGTGGAACGTTAATACAGGAGAGACATAGTATGTCTCTTCCGTCTTAACATCCTGCCTATTTGCCAACAGTTTTTTTTTTCCCCAGTTTTATGTTCCACTTTAACCCCTTGGCACCGGTACCTCCTGGCCCTTTAAGGTTTCAGAAGTCAGGAGGCGGGGTTTGAGGGTCATGTGACTGCCATGATTCGCCATCACGGCGGTCACATGATCGGGAAAGGTCTCATTCGAAAGAGGAGATAAGGACCTTTCTGTGAGAACAGGACATGTGTGCTGGGAGCACGCAGGGCACGTGTTCTCAGCACATATGTTTTTCTTAATTGCACGCAAATGTGCGGCCGCTCGGCGTCAAGGCCCAGACGCCGGGAGGCCACACATTTGTGTACGGCCGGTGTGAAGAGGTTAAAATACCATTCCTGAAAAGCAACTTTCTTTCGGAGTCCTTTCTATGCTGATCAGGGGCTTTAAATTGGCCCTATCATATACAGTATCTCACAGAAGTGTACACCATCACATTTTTGTAAATATTTTATTATATCTTTTCATACTGACAATACTGAAGAAATGACACTTTGCTACAATGTAAAGTAGTGAGTGTACAGCTTGTATAACTGTAAATTTGTAAATGTCTAAACCGCTGGCAACAAAACTGAATACACCCCTAAGTGAAAATGTCCAAATTGGGCCCAGTTAGCCATTTTCCCTCCACAGTGTCATGTGACTCCTTAGTGTTACAAGGTCTCAGGTGTGAATGGGGAGCAAGTGTGTTAAATTTGGTGTTATCTCTCTCACTCTCATACTTTTCACTGGAAGTTCAACATGGCACCTCATGGCAAAGATCTCTGAGGATCTGAAAAAAGAATTGTTGCTCTATATAAAGATGGCCTAGGCCAGTGATGGCGAACCTTTTTGAGCCCGAGTGCCCAAACTGCAACCCAAAACCAACTTATTTCTTTCAAAGTGCCAACACTGCAATGAAACCTGAATATCGAGCTTTTGGTTTAGAAAAAAACAACTCGTACAGTAGTGCAAACTAATTAACAGTACAGGGATGACCAGAGACTGCGGACACAGTACAGGGATGACCAGAGACTGCGGACACAGTACAGGGATGACCAGAGACTGCGGACACAGTACAGGGATGACCAGAGACTGCGGACACAGTACAGGGATGACCAGAGACTGCGGACACAGTACAGGGATGACCAGAGACTGCGGACACAGTACAGGGATGACCAGAGACTGCGGACACAGTACAGGGATGACCAGAGACTGCGGACACAGTACAGGGATGACCAGAGACTGCGGACACAGTACAGGGATGACCAGAGACTGCGGACACAGTACAGGGATGACTAGAGACTGCGGACACAGTACAGGGATGACCAGAGACTGCGGACACAGTACAGGGATGACCAGAGACTGCGGACACAGTACAGGGATGACCAGAGACTGCGGACACAGTACAGGGATGACCAGAGACTGCGGACACAGTACAGGGATGACCAGAGACTGCGGACACAGTACGGAGATGACCAGAGACTGCGGACACAGTACGGGGATGACCAGAGACTGCGGACACAGTACGGGGATGACCAGAGACTGGGGACACAGCACGGGATGACCAGAGACTGGGGACACAGCACGGGGATGACCAGAGACTGGGACACAGCACGGGGATGACCAGAGACTGGGGACACAGCACGGGGATGACCAGAGACTGGGGACACAGCACGGGGATGACCAGAGACTTGGGGACACAGCACGGGGATGACCAGAGACTGGGGACACAGCACGGGGATGACCAGAGACTGGGGACACAGCACGGGGATGACCAGAGACTGGGGACACAGCACAGGGATGACTGCTGACCTTTGGGGAGGGAGGGGGAGCGGGTACCTGAATTTGACAGGTACCCGCTCTTACTTCCGCAGAGTTTTTTTTTTTTTTTTTATCTTACCTGTTCCTCGATCCAGCCGCGCGCTGTCTTCCCGGCTTCTGTAGTGTGGGCGCTCGTCGGACAGCCGGATGCCCAGTGCGCATGCGCGAGAAGCGCTGCGCTTTGTGATTGGTCCGGCGGCTTCTGGGATCTGTCATGTGTCCCAGGTACCGCCTTACCATTCACAAGGAGCACTGCTTCTTGTGCATGCGCACTTGGGACCCGGCTGTCACGCACACTACAGCCGGGAAGACAGCGCGCCGCTGGATTCTCCTGGCGTGCCCACAGATAAGGCTCGGCGTGCCGGCTGTGGCACGCGTGCCACGGGTTCGCCACCACTGGCCTAGGCTATAAGAAGATTTCCAAGACCCTGAAACTGAGCTGCAGCACAGTAGCCAAGACCATACAGTGGTTTAACAAGACAGGTTCCACTCAGAACAGGCCTTTCCATGGTTGACCAAAGAAGTTGAGTGCACGTGCTCAGCATCATATCCAGAGGCTGTCTTTGGGAAATAGATGTATGAGTGCTGCCAGCATTGCTGCAGAGGTTGAAGGGTGGGGGGAGTCAGCCTGTCATTGCTCAGACCATACGCTGCACACTGCATCAAATTGGTCTGCATGGCTGTCGTCCCAGAAGGAAGCCTCTTCTAAAGATGATGCACAAGAAAGCCCGCATACGGTTTGCCGAAGAGAAACAGACTAAGGACAAGGATTACTGGAACCATGTCCTGTGGTCTGATGACATCAAGATAAACTTATTTGGTTCAGATGGTGTTAAGCGTGTCTGGTGGCAACCAGGTGAGGAGTACAAAGACAAGTGTGTCTTGCCTACAGTCAAGCATGGTGGTGAGAGTGTCATGGTCTGGGGCTGCATGAGTGCTGCCGGCACTGGGGAGCTACAGTTCATTGAGGGCACCATGAATGTCAACATGTACTGTGACATACTGAAGCAGAACATGATCCCCTCCCTTTGGAGACTGGGCCGCAGGACAGTATTCCAACATAACCCCAAACACACCTCCAAGATGACCCCTGCCTTGCTAAAGCTGTGGGTAAAGGTGATGGTCTAAACCCTATTGAGCATATGTGGGGCATCCTCAAACGGAAGGTGGAGGAGCGCAAGGTCTCTAACATCCATCAGCTCCGTAATGTCGTCATGGAGGAGTGGAAGAGGACTCCACTGGCAACCTGTGAAGCTCTAGTGAACTCCATGCCCAAGAAGGTTAAGGCATTGCTGGAAAATAATGGTGGCCACACAAAATATTGACACTTTGGGCCCAATTTGGACATTTTCACTTAGGGGTGTACTCACTTTTGTTGTCAGTGGTTTAGACATTAATGGCTGTGTGTTGAGTTATTTTGAGGGGACAGCAAATATACATGTTATACAAGCTGTACACTCACTACTTTACATTGTAGCAAAGTGTCATTTCTTTAGTGTTGTCACGTGAAAAGATATAAACTATTTGCAAAAATGTGAGGGGTGTACTCACTCCTGTGAGACTGTAACTAAATGTATTACTTGTAAAGTACAGGACACAGGAAACTTCATTGTTCTTTGTAAAATTCTATAGTACATTAATAAATATTTATAAGTACTTTTTTTTTTTTTTCATTTAATTTTTCCAGCACTTCTGGTCTTGGCCGCCTAGGGGATTATGTCATCCGGCTAGCCCATTGATTCCTGGGATATCTGTGTTCTCTATCCCAGGAGTCTTTGGGTAGCCTAAGCGTCTAATATAACAGTATTTCCAGGTGCCATTTTTGAAGAAGAGGATATGCTGGGAGGAAGTACAGGTTCTGTGATGCTAATGCGCATACTAATATTCATGCACATGTGCAAGAACAGGAGGTGCATGCTGGGTAGCCAGCTGCACTAAATTCCCAAATGCACTGGCACTGGCTTCAGATGCCCACAGCTAAGATAGCCACTGCTGGGATTTCAACAGGGGTCAGTAAACAGGACTTTTGGCAAGTAAAGAAAATAATTACAGTATTGACACTATCCAAAGTAAATACAGGGATTTTCAAGGATCACAAGGATGTGTTTGAGTAGGGGACTGTAGCTCTTCTTTAACTCCTTCCCGCCTCCCAGCCATATAGGAGTTTTTAAAAGCTGGAAGGCAGAGGTGGGCATTTGGGTCATGTGATTGGCTGGCTGTCATAGTGGTCACATGAGTGGAAATCTTCCGATCGCTAGTATGCTTCGGGAGCTTTCTGGTCCCTGCTGATGTCTGTGCTGTGAGTCTGCAGGGTGCACGCTCTCAGCACAGAGTTGTTTACATAGGGCCGCATATATGCAGCCTCTCGGCAGTAAAGCTCACCTGCCGGGAGGCCACATATATGCACCACGTCTATGGGAAGAGGGTAAGTGCATGTTGAGGCCTCTGCTGGCACTGGCTTCAGTTGAAAGGTGCTTTAATATCTGGGGCGATCAAAGGGTTAGCAGTGTGCTGTGTTGTGTTTTTTTACATAGTGTGATTTACTAGGGAGACAAGCTGCTTTGTATTGCTTTGCTGTGCAGAGCAATACAAAGCAGCCTGTTCATGCTGACAGGGGAGAGATCTGTGTTGTTTACATACGGATTTCTCCCCTGTCAGCTTTGCCAATGATCACACTGCGACCCAGTGATTTGACAATAGGAGTCAATAGCTGCATGACCTGGAAAAAACAAAATCCCCTGTCAGCTTTGCCAATGATCACACTGCGACCCAGTGATTTGACAATAGGAGTCAATAGCTGCATGACCTGGAAAAAACAAAATCACGTATATATACACGTGATTTTGCGCATTCCTACCACCCTGTAGCAGTACTTCTGCATAGGGCGGTCGGGAAGCGGTTAACCCATTCCTGCCCAGTGTGATTAGTACAGTGTCAGTGCTTTTTATTAGCACTGATAACTGTATTAGTGTCACTGGGGATGTCAGTGGCAGTTAGTTCCCCCCCAGTGTCAGAATGCCCGCTGCAGTCCTGCAATAAGTCAATGATCGCCGCCATTACTAGTAAAAATAAATAAATAAAAATTCCAGTATATATACCTCCATTTGTAGACATAAACCAATAAAAAATTTTTTTTACTGGATATGTTTTATAGCAGAAAAAAAGAAAAAACACACAGGTGATCAAATACCACCGAAAGAAAGCTCTATTTGTGGGATAAAAGGGACATAAATTTAATTCATGTACAACATTGCATGACCGTTCAATTGCCAGTTAAAGTAACGCATCGCCATATCGCAAAAATATCCTGGTCAGGAAGGGGGGTAAGCCAATCTTAAAGCTGAGCTCCACCCAAAAGGGGAAGTTCCACTTTAAGCCTTTGTCCCCCGCTCCCCATTAAAGATTGGCACCTTTGGGGGGGTACCCGAATTTGACAGGTACCCGCCACCCGCTCCCACTTCCACTGCGATAGCCTAGGCAATCGGAAGTGAAAGTCGTCATGCCCCCTCTCTCTCCGTAGTCTTCTGGGACATGTGACAGGTCCCAGAAGACTACAGGGGCCATTTACAAAGTGCAGCCCTTCTCCCGCATGCACAGTGGGCACCTGGCTGTGAAACCACAAGCTGTCACAGCCGGGTGCCCACACTGAAGATGCCGGCGCCAGGGAGATAAGACAGCCGGTGAAATCAGTGGTGGTGAGGACACCGCTGGACCGAGGGACAGGTAAGTGGCTTTATTTTTTTACAGTTTTTGTAGCTGCTGACTTTTTATTTTTTCAGGTGGAACTCCGCTTTAAAGTTAGGAACCAGGTTCCTTTTTGTTTTTTTAATTTAAATATTTATAAATTTTTCAGATAGACAAGTTATACAAACATACTCAATAAAACCTTAGCTTATTATCAAAACATTTAGCGTTTCATCCCTCCCCCCCCCCCCCCCCACCTATTTACCACCCATCCCCCCCATTCAATTCCTGACCCCTTCTGCTCTGCATTTTCCTGTTCATTTCTGGAGATCGTAATTCCCTATAAAAGAACAAAGTATGTTTCCATATTATTCTATGTTAATCCCCCATAACCTCTAAGGCTAGCCTTGACTTTTTGAATTCCTCCCATTTGTTCCATCTTGTATGGTGACTCTCCATCTTATCTTCATTCAAATGATAAAGTTCCTCCTTTTTACATATTTGATCCACCCTATCCACCCAGTCTTTTATTTTTGGCACCTCCTGTCTCCTCTAATACTTGGGTATCAGTCCCTTTGCTGCATTCAAATGGTACAATAAACCAGATTCTTTGTATTTTTTAACTGAAAGCTTAGTACTATGAAAAAGGCAAATCTCTGGGTCTACTAGAATATCAACCTCTGTAATTTTCTGAATCAAGCTGATTCCTTTTGTTTTGAACCAGTTAGCATTGTTTGTTGTTTTGCCCAATCCTTAGTTGTAATTCTTGGGGACTTCCATTGTCCAGATCTAATGGAGTTAATAAAACAAAATGTAAGCTTATGCACACCTAAATCAGTGCATAAAAGGTTAATTGCATGTATGCAAGTATTGAATTTCCTCACGAAAGACCCAAGAATAATAATCTAAAAATATATAATAGCACTGCAAACAGCCAATGTTTTGATTTTTATATATTTATGAAAGAAAGCATCATCTAAAGACAAAACCGTAAAACAGAGTTTATTCACAAGATCTTTCCACAGTCCCTTCATCTGGACAAAGATAACTCTCACCTACAGGCTTCATATAAGGTGGACCTCACTTGAGAAAGGGGTTTTTAATCAGAAATTCTGTTATTCTCACCTCTACCTGATCCTGAGAATGTCAGCTGAAGGTTTTTTTTTCTGGTATCTATCTATGTGTATTGTTGTTTAATTGCTGCACTTTTAGCTGGATCTCCTTCCTGGTCTAATGAAAATGTATATGGTGCTTGTAGTTGAGAGTTTGTCTTTGTCTACATAGGGGAATAGTGGGGAGATCTTTGTGCATGTACTCTGTTGTGCTGTTTTGTCTTTATATGATACTTTCATTGATAAATATGTGAAAATTAAAATGTTAGCTGTTTGGAGTACTACCTATTATTTACTTCAAGATTTAAAGGCGCCTATGTCCTGTTTGGTAATATTAAAGTGTTTGTAAAGGGAAAGTTAAGGGTTTTTTACCTCAATGTATTCTCTGCATTAAATAATGTTACCCCAACATTTCATATGCTTGGTATGTTTGTTGTACCATGCAGTTGTGTTAAAATGTGTCCTGTTCTCTTGCATTGCTTTTTTTGTGTGAAGTACCTGGTGATCCTGCCAGGTCCCCTTGCTTTCCTATTTCAAACTGACCACATTAGGTCATATAATCTCTGTTCTAAGCTGCATAAGAGGCTTAGGGACATGGGGAAGGAGAAGCAGCAGCACACTGATCTTCCCTGTGAATGGCTGCGCAGGGGGTATGTCAACAAAAGTCTGACCATTGGAGGACAGGCAGGCTGCTCTCCCAGCATAGCCAGAAAACTGACCACACTAGGATGAATGTGCTCTCATGCCTAACATGGTCCGTTTGAAATAGGAAAGCAGGAGGACTGGCAGGATCAGCAGGCATTCACACAAAAAAGCAGGCCAATCTTCAGCTTTCAATGCTGTTACACTTTGAATAACAATTGCGTGGTCATGCAACACTGTACCCAAATGATGATTTTATGATTGTATTTTCACACAAATAGAGCTTTCTTTTGGTGGTATTTAATCACAGCTGTGTTTTTTATATTTTGCTAAATAAATGAAAAAAGACTGAAAATTTTGAAAAAAGAAAAAACTTGTTTCTGTTCTAAAATTATGAAAATAAATGATTTTCATAAATTTAGACTAAAATGTATTCTGCTACATTTCTTTGTGAAAATAACCCAAATCAGTGTTTATTTTTTAGTCTGTAGGAAAGAGTCCACAAACTATGGGATATATATGAAAATTGATCAATCCTGATGTACTGACGGCCTGTCTCATTTCTTGAGGCCCGAAAATGTCAGGACAGTACAAATATCCCCCAAATGACCTCTTTTGGAAAGTAGACAGGCCAAGATATTTAGTAAGAGGTATGGCAAATTTTTTTTACATACTGTCACCAGTGCAGTACAGCGTCATCCTATAAATGGTGTGGCGTGATCAGGGACATTGACTGGAGACAATACTAGAAAAAAATTAATAATCATTTTGTATTTAATTCTTTTTTTTTTTTTAACAAACTGTGACCAGAGCAATACAATATTATCATAGTAACATGGTACTACTCTGGGGAAAATTGTTTTTTTTTTTTTTACGCATTATGATTGAATTTGATTGCTATAAGCAAGCCTTTTACTGAGTGAAATTGATTAATTTAGTAAGTATTGTTATTTAGCTGTGATTGCCCTCAGCTAATCACATGGTACAGATGGGCTGTGATTAGCCCTGTCTGTACCATGTGATCACTTTGATCAATCATAGCTAGCAACACAATTGTACACAATGGCATGAAAAGCAGCTATTCATTGTTTAGAATTGTCATGTGATCTTCTGTGATTGGTCAAAGCGATCTCATGGTATCGGCAGCATGTTGATAGATCAGCTACAGCCAGTGGACACAGCGGGTGACATATCTCGCTTGCAAGGTGCATTTCGGGAGGAAGTTATATGACTTCCATCCGAAACGAGGAAAGTCCCGCCCGACACATTGCAAGTGGAGATATATACACACACATATATACACAAACTTTTATGTTCAGCCCCAGCCCTCCAAATACTTGCCTGAGTCTGATCTCAATCCAGGGATCCAGGGCTGTGCCCGAGAGCAGCAGCACTTCTCTCTCTCCTTACAGAGACTGACGCAGCAGTGGGAGCCATTACCTGTGAGGAGGGAGCAGGGGACTGTGCTGAGCTGAACTATGTGTCAGTAGACGCGCACAGCCTTGCTCAGGATTGAGCCTGCATGTGTGTCACCATAGGAAGTGGCTTCCCATAATGGCACACAGAGAAGAGGAGGAGCCGAGAGCATAACAGGGGACCCCAGAAGAGGAGGTTTATGGCCACTCTGTGTAAAACCATTGCACAGAGCAGGTAAGCATGACATTTGTTTGTTATAAAAAAAAAAAAAAGCTCCCAAAAACTTTACTATCACTTTAGGAAAGAAGAAGGATTTTTGAGTTGACTTGTAAATCCTTTTCATGGAGTACATTACAAGGCACAGACCACCCTCCCTTCTGTCCTGGCATTTTCCTCTTATTGCTTGCTTGCTTGCTAAAAAAAGAGGGTTTCTAAGTGTGGGAGGAGTTATATGGGCTTCCTAACGACTTTGTCAGTGATCTCACCTGAAGGTGGCCTGTGGTCAAAATTTAAAGTAACAGTTAGGCTGGCCATACATTATACAATTATCTGCAGATTTTCTGCCCAATTTCCTTTAGATTTACCTTCA